ATACTCTGGCATTTAAAAAAATGTACATGAACAGACACAGACATAACTGTACATGTAAAGAAAGGAAATATGCTGAACTATTATTTGGACAAGAATAACAGAAACCTTACCCATGTGAAGGCTGCATACACCTCATAATCTTTATAAATAATCGTCATTGAAACTCACAATGGAGAAAGTAATAGAATCATTAGATTGACCAAAATTACAAGGATTCTATGAACTTCACTGAGTGGTGCCTTGTGACACAGTGTGCTTAAAATGATCACCAATTGAAAGGGAACAAACATACAAAGATAGCAGTGGTGAAAATATTGCAACTAGAATTAAAAAGATATCACCTATCACTCCTACATCTCTTTGACAAACTTACTCCAACAACTCCCTAACTATGTATTATGCTTTGTTTGAAAATATGCCTTAGCTTAAACTGCCTGCATCTCTCAGGTGAAATCTTTTCTTTGAGAACAAATAACTAATGGAAAGCTTTGACCAAGGGAAAATCTAGTTAATATACTGTTCTCTATTCCCTGGATAACTCACGTCTCCCCATATTCTGTTTCCTGTCTAAACTTGGTTCAATATCGGTGCTGGGATATGGGAGCTTATAATCTGCTTCCTAATCATTCTGAAAAGTAATAGTGTTCTGTGATAACATATAGAACTATGCTTTACATGAGGGACATTCTACAGAGAATTTGGCTTAATCTAACACTCTTAGATTGGGTACCCTGTTGTGAAAGGAGCCGTGGGATCTGAGTAAGGGTGCTATCAGTCAGAGCCACATTTAAGAAACAGTCATTGTTGAAATGTTCCAGGTGCTGATGAAATGGAAGCCAATTCCTCCATCCCTGTAAATGGATCAGAAGTTGTGTTCTATGAGTCTACCACCTCAAGAGTTCTATGGATCCTGTCACTCGCGGTCCTCTCCATAACCTTTGTCCTTGGTGTGCTAGGTAATGGGCTTGTGATTTGGGTGGCTGGATTCCGGATGGCACACACTGTGACCTCCATCTGTTATCTGAACCTGGCTTTGGGTGACTTCTCTTTCCTGGCTACTCTACCACTCCACGTTATCTCAATGGTAATGAGAGGAAAATGGATCTTTGGTTGGTTCCTTTGCAAATTTGTCCACATCATAGTGCACATAAACCTTTTTGTAAGTGTGTTCCTGATCACTGTCATTGCCATGGACCGCTGTGTTTGTGTCCTGCACCCAGTATGGGCTCAGAACCACAGAACTCTGGCTCTGGCCAGGAAAGTGATTGTCGGAGTTTGGATTCTTGCTCTACTCCTTACTGTTCCACATTTCCTCTTCTTGACTACAGTGAGAGATGCAAGAGGTGATGTGCACTGTACAACTAATTTTGAATCCTGGATTCCAACCCCCGAGGAACAATTAAAGGTTTCTCTTATGGTGAGCACAGTTACAGGAATAGTCAGTTTCATTATAGGATTCAGCATGCCCATGTCCTTCATTGTCATCTGCTATGGACTCATTGCTGCTAAGATCTGCAGAAGAGGCTTTTTGAATTCCAGCCGTCCTTTACGTGTCCTCACTGCTGTAGCGGTTTCCTTCTTTGTCTGTTGGTTCCCTTTTCAATTGATAATTCTTTTAGGCAATATCTGGAACAAGGAGACGCCATACAGCGTTCACGTGATGGTGAATCCTGCAAGCACCCTGGCCTCCTTCAACAGCTGCCTCAACCCAATACTCTATGTTTTTCTGGGCCAGGAATACAGAGAGAGGCTGATACACTCTCTGTCTGCCAGTCTAGAGAGGGCCTTGAGGGAAGAATCTGCTATGAACATTGGCAAAGCCAGCAACTCATCTCCACATCCTGCAGACTCTGAGCTATAGGAAGTGACAAGCAAGGAACCATGAGAATGTTTGCTGTGCCACTGCATCTCACTTTCTGACTCATCCGACTTTGTGTGACATGTGGGAGTATTAATCTTGAAAAAAAATCCTTCTTTGTCCTCTGGTTTGGATGAAAAAATTAAAATCAAAACTAACATCACTGTTCTTTGGAGACTTTTCCTACTGAGCCTGTAGCTGAGGCTAAGACTAAGGTGGCAAAACAGTGTAAGAGACATATATATATATATATATGAAAAGATATACAAGATATATACAAGATAGTATATATTGACGCTAAACTTTTATTATTTTATTAAGAAATAAATCTTTGAGGACCATGAATTTCATGCCTGTAATCCTAGCACATCTACAAAAGAGGATAACCTACAAGGGCAGTTCACACAGAAAACTTGAGAATTAAAGCAATCTGAGTCACATGAGACCAAGTCTGAAGGCAACTAAAATTTCTACCATGAAGAACAAAATCGCATATTGCTAGAAAATGAGTAACATTGTTGATGAACAGTATGAATAAAGCCATTATCAGAAGGAAACCCACTGCATTTTGTTTTAATTTGTGGATCACAAAACTTTATATTGGTTAAGAAAAATTACATTTGTTTGAGTGTGCACATGTGTGCAACTGCATATGAGATTGAAAGTACATTTAAACTGCCTGAGTGATCAAAGAGGCCTCACTGAAGTAGGGGAGATCCAAGAAAAGGAATACAGTGTCTAATAGCTAATTTAATTGTCAACTGACACAGTCTAAAATCATCTTAAAGAAAAGTCTCAAGGAGAGACTTTCTAGATTTGTTTGATCCATGTGTGCTTCTATGGAGGATTATTTGATCATATCAATTGAACTGGGAAAACTTTCCTATTGTGGGTGGCACCAATTCTTGCATTGGCACCTCTTCCAATTGGTGCAGGAAGTGTCTTTGCCTCTTGGTCCAGTCCTTGCAGTTGGCATCCATGTCTCAGGAAGCTGCTCTTTGCGTGTGTAGTCACTGCCTCAGGGAGTCACTGAGGTCTCTGGGGATGGGTGGGTTCAGGTACAGAATGGGACTTGTAGATTACAGGTTCTGATGGGGTGGTGCTGGAGCTCAATGAGCACATCATCCATCACTATTGACCTTCAGCAGTCTTTTAATATCTGTAGGGGTGTTTTTCTGCATGTTTGACTGGGATCTGTGTATTTAATGCCTGAGGCAGCCAGAAGAGAGCTGTCAATTACAACTGGAGTTACAGATGGTTGTTAGTCACTATGTGAGTACTAGAAATCCAACACTGGAAGAGAAAACAAAGTTCTTAAGCATTGAGGCATTTTTTTCAGCCCTAGCTATCTTTTCTTTAATCTATGAAGGCTAGGAAACTGACTCAGTGTGCAACAAGCCAAATGACCTGAGCTTGATCTCTGGAGCTCATATGGTGGAAAGGGAGGACTAATAACCACAAGTTGTTTATGTTCCCTTATCTGTATACCCAACTACATATACACACAGTACATTACATGCCATTAAGCCCAGCTCTCAGGAGGCAGAGACAGTAGGAGTCTGTGAATTACAGGCCAGCCTGTCTATATAGCAATGTACAGACCAGCCATAGGGGTAGATATAAAATTATAAAACTCTTGAAGTTCATCAAAGTATACACACTGGAAAAAAACCTTACATTTGTAAATTTTTGGAATGTCCTTTACCTCTAGCTCAAATCTTCAAGCTCATCAAAGAATACAACTGGAGAGAAACCTTATAAATGTTGAGAGTGTGGAAAGTTCTTTAATCGGAGCTCCACACTTCAAGTTCATCAAGAATATACACTAAAGAGAAACCTTACAATTGTAAATATTGTGGGTAGTCTTTTACCCAAAACCCAACTCTTCCATGCTATCAAAGAATACTCACTGGAGAGAAACCTTATAAAGGTTCTCATTGTGTATTCTCAGCAAAGAATACACACGTGTGAGAAATGTTAGTATTGAAATGTATGTGGCAAGTCCTTTACTAAGAGTTCATCAAAGAATAGATTACAGAGAAAAGGTTAAATAAATACACAAATTGTGGCAAGTTCTCTGCCCATGATTTACTTCTTCAAAGTAAGAATCCTTAATACTTTAATGATTATGCTATGTGCTATGTCTTTTTCCCATGAATCTTTTCTGCAAAAACTCACTACCTCCATACAGGAGAGAAAGATTATGAATGTGAAGCCTGCAGGAAATCCTCTTCTGGGTTCTTGCATCTTAACTACCATTACAGAATCCATACTAGAAAGAACACTCACAATATTAAAAATGTGTCAATTTTCATGGAGTGCTCAGATCATCAAACCCAACACAGCATCACTAATGGAAGAAAACCTAACAAATGTACAGAGTTTTTAAAAATTCTTTAAAAGAAGGTACTAATTTAGAGCACATTTGAAAATTCATGTAAAAGACCAACTCAATAGAGAATTTCTGTACAAATGCTCATCCAAAAATGAGGTTCTTTATACTGTAAGTATTGGAAGGAAATCTGTAGCAAATGTTCAATCTTTATTCATTGTTAGATGAGAGACATTAGTCAACCTTAAGATCATTGTAATTTTAAAAGTATTCTACCAGCCGGGCGTTGGCATGCCTTTAATCCCAGCACTTGGGAGGCAGAGGCAGGTGGATCTCTGTGAGTTCGAGGCCAGTCTGGTCTCCAGAGTGAGTGCCAGGATAGGCTCCAAAGCTACACAGAGAAACCCTGTCTTGAAAAACCAAAAAAAAAAGAGCATTCTACCAACAGATAAAATAATTATTCACAAAAATATTCTTGGAAAACCAGCTACATATGCAACAATATATTTATCATAAATACACTGAAAATGTATTAAAATAATATACAATAAATTTGACAATAGTTGAAGGCACATATAATTAAGAAATGACCACTTATGCTGGATTAAGTTTACTGATAACCATGCAACTCAATATCACTGCATAATTTTCAGCATATTTTATGGGACAGAATATTGAATTTGTATTGGTATAGCTTTTATATAACAATCCTTTTGTCTTTTGTATTTGAAGTTTTATAAATGTAATATAGCTTGTTTTGAACTACAAGTTACCCCCCATTTTCCCAGTTATCAATAAATGCAATATAACTTGTCTTCAATTGTTGCTGCCTTGGAATGGTGGACATTCATTTTATACTAGTGTATTGTAATAAATATCAGGAATTGCAATACAAAACATGCCAAAAATAATGACCTTAAAATATAAACCAAATGGCTTTAGAAAAACTATAACAGAATGAATCATTAAAAGTATATGTAGGGGGAAAAAAGGGCTAAGTATGTGAAGGCCTGAGTGGGTGTGGAGTAAACTTCAGCTGATTACAATGATAGATTTAGGTCTAAGACAACACACTGAGACACGCTGAAAATGCAAAGTAACTTCCGATCATCTGTTGAAGCTGGGAACATTACAAATCCTCCTGTGATTGTGTGAGGATTTTGAGAGATTATGTAAAAACTATCCAGGATATTTTGCTTTCTTCAGATATTCAGGCCTCAACAGTTGAAGGCTATAAAGTCTGAAAGTACTAAGATGAGCCAAGAATGCTTACCTGAAGAGCTTTAGATAATAAACCTGCCACTCAAGTATCAATCATTATGCAATAACTCTTTGAATCTATTTACATGTAGGTATTACAGACACAGAGCTTCCAGGGTGTCGTCGTTTCCATTCAGAGAGCATGGAACCCTAATGCCAGCTTTTTTTGGGGTGTCCCTTTTATATCTGTCTATATTTTCTTCATTGTTACACCACTCCACTTAGATCACTGGAGACATACTGGACAGGAAAGCAATAGCGCAATAGTCTCCATTCAAAAAGAGGAAGTTATTTGAGTGTTTCAAATGAATTAAATTCATAATTTCTCATTAAGGAAGAAAACTGCTTGATTATTAAGTACTAATGAGCCTGGCAGTGGGACTTCCCCAATAAAATTTTCTAGACAGAAATGAAGAACAACCATCTGCAATTCTACTTATTCTTAGAATTTATGTCTCCCAAAGTAGACACCAGACAAGCAAATAAATAAGAACTAATTTTCAAAACTGAAAAAAATGATTCATCAAATCCAGAAATTATTGTTTTTTCAATGTCTGATCTCATGTTTTATTCATGTACATGTCAATTTTTCATTGGGGCTGTGGAGGAGGGGAGGGTGAGGGAACTGGTATTGACATGTAAAACAAGCTTGTTTCTAATTTAAATTTTAAAAAAGGAAAAAAAATAAGAGGATAATAAGAATAGAGGGAACGAACATTTCTTGGAGGTTTGGATGACCTTAAGAGAATAGTTGCTTGACACGGACCACAGTTTCCTCTTCACTAAAATGACTTGGGTAGTAGAGACTTATAACAAAGTCAACAGACATCAAGGTCCCAAATACACTTTGAATAAATGGTAGAGCCCATGAATGGAAATGAAATGTTGTCTCAGCCTAAGAGCAAAAATAAGGAAGAAACAGGACAAGGCTCAGTGTGGGAGGGAAGTGGCCAGAAAGTCAGGGTGACTCAGTGGAGTAGAATGTCCTCTACCTTTCCCTGTGGGCTCTCCATGAGGACTAGGGGAGGAGCGACCAGGAAGGAGGGGGAGAGGTAAATGACAATGGTGACCACATGAGATTTCTGTGATGGAAAGGGGACGAGAGGTCTGATGGACGGATTTCTCTCTGGAGTGTCCATCACACCCGTTTCTTCTTCATCACCATGCTTAGCCAAGCCCTCAGATTCTGCACATCTCTATTCACAGCATCCTGCATTCTGCCTGCTGCAGAACTTCCCACATCTGTATCTTCAGATGAACTTTACAGGTAAGCCAAAAATGTGAAAGAAGAAAAATTGAGGTAGAAAACTATACTACATAGAAGGAAACAAGGCTGCTCCTGTATCTTACATTCCTAATGAAAGGGCCAGGGCAGTCTCCCCCCACACGCTCAAGGAACAATTAAAGGAGAAACAAGATTAAAAAGTCATACTTGCAACAGCCTCTGCTGCTGGTTTTTAAACTCACTTGGCTCTTTCACGCTTTGTACTCTTTGAGGAGCCTGCCATCCAGCTCCCAGATAAATCACACAGGGGTGAAGATGATGATTAAAGTCTCTTAATTCAAGAAAACACCAGGGCAAAATGCAGGCCAGAGCGAGGTTACAGGAACCCAGCAAGCAAGCGCCGCCAGAACAAAAGGGCTCGGGTCTCCATGAGCCGTCTTTAAGAAGCCTCCCTTGGCTTTCCTACACCTTATGGGCGAGTCCCGGATCCACCTGGTACCCAGGGCGTGGCTAGGATGTCTCCCTACACAGGGGTTTATTCTTTCCTATGAATACCTTGCTTTAGCCTGGCTTATTTCTACCAATCTTTTTTAAAACTAATTATCCCATCTACCTTTTGTCTCTGGACTTTTACCTTTCTCTATTTCTTTTCTTTCCTTATTCTGTGCCTGGCTGTGTGGCTGTCCTCTTCTTTTCTCCCTCCTCCTCTCACTGCTAGATCCCTTTCCTTCCCAGGTTTCCTATTCAGTCTGTCTGAATGCCAGGTTCAGCAATTCTTCCTTTTTCCTGGCTATTGGCCATCAAGCTATTAGAGCAATCAGGTGTTTTAGACAGACAATGTAACACAGCTTCACCGAGTTAAAGAAATACAACAAAAAGGAATGAAACACATCCTTTCATCATTAAAAGAAATGTTTCACAGGATAAGCAAACTTTAAAAATAATATTCCACAGCACATGGAGGATCAAATCTCAGCCCCACCAGGTGACTATGGGGATGCAAATACTCTGAGATGTGTGCTTCTTGTTTACATCTCTCTACTTTGCTTCAGTTAAGACAATTATTCCCAAGTGTTTGCCTTTCTGTTACCATTAGGAGGATTTGTGCAGATTGCTGGAGGATCTTAGAAAAAAGTGTAGCCTAGAATAAAACTGTGTATGTTTTGCTCTCCTCACTAGTGAACAAACATCTGTTTGCCCACATTGGTACTGAAGTTCTCTTGGGCCTTAGAGAAACTGGAAAATTTCCTAGATGCATGACCTTGGGCCCAGATCTCTCTTCTCAGGAGCACTGGGGTCCTGATTAGGCAAAATGCAATCAGATGATCACTATATATTGTCCCTGTGAAGAGCAAATTGGAGTACAGGAAGGGAATCCCTGCTCTGCCATTTAGTGTTGTCCTTATGACTAACTGGCAACAATCCTGGCTAGGGGTGTATGCTCTGTGACTATACCTGTAAAATGGATTGTCATTGCACAGTGCAGTGGAAGTAGTGTTTGTGAGACAGTGCCTGGCTATGTTCAATATCTAGAAACACTATTTCTTAAGACTCAATTTTTCATAATCTGGGTAAAAGTCAGGCAGATAACCAATTCCTTTCTAGATGTGGTTGAGTCACAGGGAGCACCAGGTATGAGTAGGCGTGGGCCAGGCTGCCACTCTGATACTTCTCAAGGGTTAGTGTAGTAGCTTCCTGCCTTGTCAGTGAACAAGAAGTGGTGGCCACACCCTTTGGGTTTGGTTTCAAATGCAGACATGACCCATCCTAAGGGTCACTGTTCTCAGTGTCATAAAAAAAAAAATACTCTGTGATTGCAGGAAAATTGTATTTCTTAATTTGTATTTGTCTGGACCTTCCCAGTACATTATTTGTTACTGTTACCAAAGAGAAATAATAGCTTCACTTAAACACACATAATATCTTCATACTTCCACAGGACTGAAAATGTATCATGAATTTAATTAATCTGAACTCAAAATTCCTAATTTACAACTGAAGAAAGGAAACATCCGTCCCAATGATTGTGTACTTTTAAGAAAGAACTACATTTACTAGCAGATTTTACAATTGCTGCAATACACAATCGATAATTTGGACATAGATTAGCAAACAAAAATAACTGAAATATAAAAGATATTATACTGAGCTCACAACTGTAATCCCAGCTCTTGGAATGTAGCAGGATTGTCCCAAGCTTGAGACCAGCCTGGCCTACATAGATGAAATCCAGAACAGCTACCCAGCAATAATAGCTCAAATACACCCATTCATTGGTTAATTTAAATTTTAAAAGCAGGGCAACTGTAATTTAGCTAAAACATTTATAGAATGTGTGACAAAAAAAATAAACTTCGTTACACACAGTCTCAAACCTATCCACAAGAAAAGCTTTAGTTTTTTTTTCAAAGATAGGATACATGAAACAAAACACACATTAAAACTAAGAAGTTGCCAGGCAATGGTGGTACCTGCCTTTAATCCCAGCACTCGGGAAGCAGAGACAGGCAGATCTCTGTGAGTTCGAGACCAGCCTGGCCTACTAGAGCCAGTTCCAGGGCCGTCTCCAAAGCTGCAGAGAAACCCTGCCTGGAAAAACCAAAAAAACAAAACAAAACAAAACAAAACAAAAAACTAAGAAGTCATCTCACAGGACAATTATCCTTCTGTGAGAAAATCACAGAGGAAATAAAAACTAATATACAATATTTATTAAGCAAAGGTCTTGATCTGTTCACTGAAGTCATACCAAAGACAAATATTCCCATATATCAAACAAGCATTTCTAAGGAAGGGAACAAACAGCTCAATGGTAGAGCAACTGCCTGGCATGAGCACAGAGTGGGTTTTACTCTAAGATGAAAATTGTCTAGAGTAATGGGGAATCTAAGATATGCAAAAAATCATAATTCTCTATTATTAAAATTGTCTAGAGTAATGGGGAATCTAAGATATGCAAAAAATCATAATTCTAAAACCAAATAAGCTTTTTGAAATGAAAGCAAAGTAATAATGGTGATTTAAATTAATTCCTGTAGACAGGGGACAAAAGGACAAAATCCAAACACAATTCACATAAATCTGAATGAAAAACAGGAGTATTCTTCAACTATGAATCTAAACCTATGCAGTATGAAAAATGAACAATATCTTTAGATTTACATATATAAATCATAAGCTAGACAGCAGCTTGGTTGGAGGTAATAGCATCACGTCACCTTGGCCTCCTAAAGACAAAGTCACAAAATAAGGAAGACTGGCCCGAAATGTTTAGCCACAATGTTTTATTATCAATTTTCAAAACACAACCAACATTAACATTAAGTGCTCATATAAAAAGATCCCAGCCAGGTGTGCCAGAATATAATTCAACCCCAGGTATCTGGAGTCAGAGGCAAAAAGACCTCTGAGCTTGCAGCTAGCCTGCTCTACTCATCAGTGCCAGGCCCACCAAGGATACATGTTGAGATTGTTTCAAAGAACCTCAAGAAAGGCCAGGCATTCTGAAGCAAGCCTTCATTCACATCACGTAGGAGTCAGAGGCAGGAGGTTCTGTCTGTTAGTTCAAGGCAAGGGCATGAGGGTTACATATAAAGAATGTGTCAAAAAAACAGAACAAGGTCTATTTTCATACATCAAAATATTAAAGGCTTTTATTACTTAAAAATAAAGAGTCTGTCAGTGTCCCCAACAGTGTACAACTTTAACAGCAGCACTCAGGAAGAAGAGACAGTGGGATTTTATTAGTTTCAGAGCAGCCTGGACTGGAATACAGAATGATTTCCATGGCTACACAGATAAACCATTTATTTTTTATTTTTTATTTTTTGGTTTTTGGAGATAGGGTTTCTCTGTGTATCTTTGGAGCCTATTCTGGCACTCACTCTGGAGACCAGGCTGGCCTCGAACTCACATAGATCCACCTGGCTCTGCCTCCCTAGCGCTGGGATTAAAGGTGTGCACCACCAACGCCTGGCAGATAAACCATTTCTTGAAAACACACAGAGACAAGACTCATGTTTTTTTGTGTGTCTCCCTTTCCCATCTCCTCTCTGGGGTACTGGAAGGCCATCCAGGAGGGTTGTATTCATTAACCGTGAGCTCTTTCTTCCTTCCTTCCTTCCCTCCTTCCTTTCTTCCTTCCTTCCTTCCTTCCTTCCTTCCTTCTTTTTTTTTTTTTGTTTAAATAAATTTATTTCTTTTAACTTTGCTCTGTTTGGATTGCGTGTCTTTTGTTCGGTTATGAGAACAGTTTTTAAAGGATGGCGGAATATTGGCTAGCTTAATGGATGGACTAGGAGAGTGTTAAAAGTAAAACGCCAGGAAACACGCATTCACAGCTAGATAAGTTTGTTCAGGAAGCCTAAACTATTTTGGGGAGGAGTCTCACTTTATGATCTTGCTCTCAAATTGCTTAGCACGTCTCCATTTGCAGATGCACTTGAGACAGTTGAGGTGGTTGCAGATGGACAGGATCCCAAAGTGGTGTTCACTGGGGTTTGCTTCTTCATAGACCACCTCCACGCAGATCCCACACACCATGTCCTTGCTGCGCTGCACGGCAAAAGAGAGCTCCATGTCCTTCTCGTGGGCCTCAATGCAAGAGTTTATGTGTTGTGACCTGTGGGCAGCATCCACTGGGTGCAGGACCTGCAGGACACACATGTCACGGGAGTCTCCGTGGAGACACACACAGTTTTCCCCATAGCGACGCTCTCCCACTGCAGCATAGGGGCAGAGCTGCTTCTTTGTCTCTACCGCATCTGGCTCCTTCTCTGACTCTTCCTTTGTCACTGAGCCCTGCAGGGGTGGCGGGGGTACATCAGCAGTGGCTTGCTGTGCTCATATCTGCAGCTGTCTCCATAAACACATTGCGCTCTTTGAAAATACTTGCACTCTGCACCATGTGGTCTGTCCGAGAGGTCACGGGAGTATCTACAGTTATCCCCTTCCTTACAAACCCCATGCATAAAATTCCTGCTGGCTCCCTGTGTCTTCCAGCCACCGCCACTGCCTCACCCCCTCGCCCCCCCCCGGAGCCAGCCAGGGCAGCGCCTGTGGAGATCGGGGCGAGGGAGGCCAGTGCCACCGCGGCTGCCACTCTTGCTCCTGATGTTGTGGCTGTTTTTCCAGGAGCTGCAGCCTCCACCGTTACTGTTTATCCCACACAGCAATGGCCCCGGAACTTCAGGGATCACATAGTTCTGGTCCGGCTGAGACTGAGAAGACAGCTGAGTGAGGAGATGGGAGGGAAGGAACGGGAGGGAAGGGAGGGAAGTGGGGTGGGGGGCTGTGGAACCAGAGCGCTCCGCTCTGTCCCAGCCCAGAGTCTCTCATGTGAACTTTTTCTAATTCATTTTGATTTGGTCTGATTTGGATTGCTGCATCATCAGAGAGGCTTGCTGGTGTGTAGAAACTTTCCAACTCTATCCAGGAGGACAAGGGGAAGTTCCTATTGGCACCAGGAAGATAGCAGTGTCTGCAATCCAAGCCAGGGGCCAGTGCTATTGAAATGCATATTGCCGAAGATCTAGAAAAGATTTTTCGTCTTGTATTCCAGGCACGGCCAGGAACCGCAATACTGTGTCTTTAAGCACACTCTAACCCTATGGGAGGTGCTCTTGTCACTCAAGCCTCACTATCCAATCAGGCCCTGCATGTGTCCTGCCACTCAGAAGTGGTACCGGGCTCTTCCTGTCACGAGGCTTCAGGCTTGACTTTGCAGAGGAGACAGCAGTTTTGTGTGCCGTGCTGCAGTTGCTGCTGCAGGGAGCTGTGCTGAGAGCTTCAGAGATCCGGGAAACCACAACATGGTGAGCTAGAGGATGCTGTCTGCACACGGGGAGGAGCAGATGGAGAGGTGTGGCAGACAGTGTGGTGGTGGTCCTCCCTGTATCTGGGGGCACAGTAGGTCCAGATTTCCTGTCTTGTGAAGTCCCATGCAGGAGGTCTCTCAGTAACTTTGCCCTGTGGGCTTAACCTGATCAGAGCATTGGGAGGAGGGAACTGGCTGGAGGAGTAAGTCAGTAATCAACTTCAACATTCTAGATATATACATGGAAAGCAGCTCGCCTAAGTCAGAGATGGCTAGTTTTTCCAGTATCTTCTTGACATTTAACATTCTGCATTTAACATTTAAATGAAATCTTCATTTATAGTTAATTTTATGCAGGATGTCCACAGGCATCTGATTTGTTGGGTAGCAGTCCCCTGTTATGCCATAATGTAGGAGAGTAGAATTGGTGATATAAAGGATTTACCAATGTTTAGGAAATAGTAAGTCCTCCCTAAATAGAATTGAGCTGAGGGTGGACTGCTTCTGAAACACCCATAAGTAAGTATATGCTAACCAGCCTTGTTTTTATGCTAGGATACTCATTTGTTCGCTAGGATTGTCCAGACATTTGGCTCCAAAAAGCTATCCCTGATTTACAACAAGCCACTAGGCTCATCCCCGTATCAAAGAACAGGTCTCTGACAAGCTGCTCATGGAGACATTACAGGGTTACAAGAAAACTTAAACTCTGGTGTCATAAAATTCTAGGTTTTTTTTTTTTTTTCTTGAGAAAAAACACAGTTTTGTCAGGTGGGCAATATGAGACCAGGTAACAATTATTTGAAAATAATACACAGTTGTGTTAAGAATTCACCTCATCAAGCAAGGCTTTCATTTAAGCCCTTAGGCTGGCAGGATTTAGTAGCAGTCTATGGTCTAGGGCTTGGAAGCATTCATTGGGGCCTGATGTATTGACAATAAAACTGAGCTACTTCTCTAAAATCTGCAGTATGTTTGAGAGAGCTGGTGATGGTCTGGGGCCAGGAATTTTTAGAAGGGTTGCTTCAAATCATGAGAACCAAACTTTTGCCAGCATATGGCGCTATTGTTGTCTGTCCTAAGGCTACTGTGTCTTAAGTCAGTAATGTTCTTGATATATTCTGTTTCCCTTGTGTGGCATTGTTTGACTAGTCTCCTCCTGAATTTCTCTGATTATATGATAGTTTTTGATGACTTCATATGATTCTCCCATATCCTTTGATCCCTGACACCATTTATGTGTGTACAGGATGCTATTCTTAAGAAGCTTAGTTATTCTGGGCTATACTCTGCAATTCCTAGCATTTACCGTTTCTACACTCTGCTTGTCGTATCTTCCATATTCCCTATGATCTTCACCTCTGGATCCTGTCCCTGAAGAATGACCTGTTGTTTCAGGTCAGTGGTGTACTTAGAAACTATTGAAGGAAAATCCTGGCTGTGTGATTGTATTTTACTTTATTGCTACTATCCACTTCTAAGGACTGGTATTTTTCTGGTTTATGGCGTTTATCTTTAGAGAAATGGTTTAAGAAATATTTAATGTGCTCTAATAAAAAGTCTCTAGTCTCTGGAGTAAATGGCCATAAGCCTGTTTCAACTTTTCAAAATAGTTTTTGAGATTATAAATGCATCATGCTCACATTGTCTTTTCTTCCTCCAAGCCTTATCAATACCCCATTGTATTCTAATCTGTGGCCTGTTTTTCTTTAACTCAGTTACACAGTAACCACAGTTACTGTGGAAGCAAGGCATTTGCTGCACAGGACATTGAGTGCGTAATGGAATGGGCACACAAAGCACCTTGTGCTTTGGATGAGGAACAGGATGTGCTCTACGAGAGAGGAGGAATGTCTACTAAATTACAAACTTTCTAGACTAGGCCTCTGTCTACTGTGCTGGAAGGCCAGAGCTAGAAGGACTGTGTTGTCTTCGTCATTTGATCTCTGATCACATAGCAGGAAAGCTGCTAATATGAAGCTTAGCAGGGTGGCCCTAGCCAATGTAAGGTTTTTTTATGGGTGGGTGTGAGCAGTCAGGAGTACTAGTGTCAGGTAATTTGTGGGTTCTTGCCATGGTTTCTTCTGCCTTTGCTGAAATGTGTTGTAAGAGAGACCACAAGCTATACCATGTTGAGTATATTGTGTTCACAGCAGGTCTGTTGAGCTATCATTCCATTTATTTTTTAATTGACTGCTTGTTTTTCAAGACAGGGCTTCCCTGTGTAAGAGTTGTCGCTGTCCTGGGACTCACTTTGTAGACCAGTATGGTCTTGAACTCACAGAGATCTTACTGCCAGAATGCTGGGATTAAAGGCATGTGCCACCGGCACCCAGTGAGTTTTCAATTCTGTTGGGACTTGGATGGACCATGAGCCAGACTATAGTTCTTTTGGTCCATGTGGTGACCTGGGCAGTGGCCTTTGTATTCTGTTCCTCCCAGTATGGATTTACTGGGTAATGGGAGACTACAGCCCTGGCATGTGGGGATGTAGTTCTTGCAGTATCACTGCCAAGTGTTCGATTATGGGCACTCCTTTTGGTAGCAGTGGGAAGACAGATTAGAAAACTGAAGTTCTGGTTTCTAGAAGTTTCAAGTTAGTATTATAAATATTGCAAATAATTTAAGAACTTGTAGAAAGATGGTGACTTGGATCATCTTTCACCAATACATGATTAGAATTGTAACTTTGTGGTTGCAGCTAACCACAATGTTGTTATTCAGTGAAATTTAGTTCCAGGGGAGAAAAGGAGTTTCGATGTGTAGAGATTTCTCAAGTGTGCATGGTGCTCTGCAGGTAGATTGGGCAGATTCCATGTTATGTGACATAAGCCGTGGAGTCACATTTAAAATCACTTTTCTTTTTCTTTGATTTTCTTTTTCTTTTCTTTCTTTGCTTTTTTTTTTTTTGGTTCAGGGATCATTTCTTTTTTTAATTTAAACTAGACACAAGCTTGTTTTACATGTCAATCACAGTTCTCTCTCCCTCCCCTCCTCCCCTGACCCTCTATTCAATCCCCTTTATGCTCTCCAGGGAAGGTGAGGCCTCCATGAGCGAATTTCAAAGTCTGTCATATCATTTGGAGTATGTCCTAGGCCCTGTCCTGTGTCTCTAGGTTGAGAGAGTGTTGCCTTATGTGGAATGGGCTCCCAATGTCCATTTGTATACTAGCGATAAATACTAATCCACTAACTACCAGTGGCCCCATAGATTGCTCAGGCCTACTAACTGACACCCATTTCAGGGGGCCTGGATCAGTCCTATGCTGGGTTCCCAGTTATCAGTCTGGGGTCCATGAGCAACCTGCTGTTCAGGTCAGCTGTTTCTGTGAGTCTCTCTAGTCTGGCATTGACCCCTTTGCTCATTACTCCTCCCTCTCTGCAACTGGATTCCAGGAGTTTGGCTCAATATTTAGATATAGTTGTCTGCTTCTGCTTCCATCAGCTACTGGATAAAGGCTCTAGGATGGCATATAAGGTAGTCACTGATCTCATTATCAGAGAAGGGCATTTAAGGTAACCTCTCGCCTATTGCTTAGATTGCTAGTTTGTGTCATCTTTGTAGGTCTCTGGACATTTCCCTGGTTGCAGAATTCTCTTTAAAATTATAATGGCTCTGTCTATTATGGTATATCTTTTCTTGCTCACCTCTATTCTTCCCCTGACTCAATCTTCCTGCTCCCTCAAGTCCTCCTCTCCCCCCCTAATCTCCCCTTCTCATTCTCCTAACTCCCTGTCCCCTCCCATCATGCTCCCAATTAGCTCAGGAGATTTTGTCCCTTTCCCTTCTCCTGGGGACCAATTATTTCTCTCTTAGGGTCATTTTTGTTTCCTAGCTTTTCTGGTGGTGTAGATTGTAAGCTGGTAGTCTTTTGTTCCATGTCTAAAACCCATATATGAGTGAGTACACACCATGTTTGTCTTTTTGTGACTGGGTTACCTCACTCAGGATGTGTTCTTCTACTTCCATCCATTAGCCTGTCAATTTTAAGATTCCATTGTTTTTTTCTGCTGAGTAGTACTCCATTGTGTAAATGTACCATATCTTCCAGGTTCTGACTATTAGAAATAATGCTGCTATGAGCATAGTT